CTGAAACTTGAATGAAACACAGCCTGACAGTTTTACGCTGAGAGTAAATATTGGCACGTCCAAAATGTACGCATTACATAATTCGTACAACATTATGTTGTGAATGTGTCGTGTTTCATTGTGAATTGGAATTTTTTGTCCCAACTGTTTAGATGATCCTGTAATTTACAAGCATTTAATTACAAGAATATAAATTTCTGAATAATACTGAAACTGAACTGATGCAGAAAATGAGACCAATGGCAAAGAATCCCCCACTAACAGACACAATAAATTTTGAGAAAAACATTTTTCAAACCGGAACTACGTCTGGATTATTTCAAGCGATGAAAAGGTTAATTACCTCATTAATAACTTATTATTATAAAGAATTGAATTGAATTATTAATCGCACATTTATTATTTTACGTTTATTAATTTTTTCATAATGGATTAAAATGAAAGCGAATTACATTCTTTATCGGGCAATGTATGCAGAACAATATTTAGGCGAAATACTGGAAGAAACTCATTTTACCTCAGAGACAACGGAAAAGGAAAACCTGTCCCAGAGCTTCGCCATCAAGACACGGACAGTTACAAATTAATGGAGGTAAGTTTCCATTCATTCTTTACCTTGTTATCATCGAATAGAGGTTTGCCATCAATCCACGGACCAGTCGCTCTATCAGCTGGGCAAGATAAGTACTTCAGAGCAGCAGAGACCTTCTTGTTAAGCTTGTAGTCACTCAGCTAGCCAAAAAATATATTTCGCCTTTCGTCAAACTGAAGGTTCTTTATCGTGTAAGTCAAAGCCCGCCACTGACCAATATCTTGAAACTCATAAACCTTGTCGAGTAATTATTCTTATTATTATTCCCTTCATGACATTCCTTAAATGTTATTCAGAATGTACAAATAAGAATCGTGGAGGGACACAGAAAGAAATATCCGTTGGCGTTTAGCGAATTTTCTTCAGCAAGTGTTTTACCTATGACCTTTCTGTACAGAGTGTAGGGACACGGATGTCACATCTGGTGCGCGTCGTGATGGATAGGTGAACAATTATTCATTATGACAAGAATACATTCTTTCTCGAAAACCGGTTAATCATCCTGTCTGTTGAATTTTTTCTCCGTATATCTAAATGCATTAAACTGTGATTTATACGAATCATATATTATAGATGGCACACACATGCAAAGCTATCTTCATGAACGAACATTAGGTAAGCTTCACGTTAGATCACTTGATGATGATTCATTGTTTATTACCAAGGTAGAATCAACGAAGAAATTTGTATTGTGAATGAATGTCAAATAGACGTATCAGGGCAGATATTAAAGTTACTCTCAATCTTTCTAGGTAATGAAAAGAACCGAAACTAGAGAGTAATTTTAAATAAAGTCATGTTATTGTACTTCTCAGATCTACAATCCAAGTAAAGCACTCACTTCTCTGAATTTTAATGCCATTATTGCACTGTCGTGTTATTCCAAAATTTTACTGAAGTCCGACAAAAATTCGAAAAGAAAGAGGCCAGTCGACATACTCACGAATAAACCAGTGGATAATATTAAAATAGGTCTTGCAGAAAAAGGGTGCCAGCATGTGAACTAGTTACATCTGACTCAGGATAGGGTCCACTGAGGACTCGTATGAACACGGAAATGAACCTTCTGGTTCCACAGAAACCTGGCATTTTATTGATTTTATGAATTACATTCTCAAGAAGGACTCGTCGAAATTTATAGCCAAGTGCTCAGCCCTCCTGCTTCAAAGTCTGGAGGATAATCATCCCATCATTCGACAGTTGGAGCTACTGACAGCGAAATAAATAAAGAAGGACTCTACAATATTTAGTTGATTGCCGACTGTATTCCATATGCCCCCGTTATATTCATGTTAACCGTGTTAGCCGCGTCAGCCCAGTTAACAATTTGAAAAATGAAAAATGATTCTGCCTCATTTTCATGGTTCAGTCGCACTGCATACACTGGAACACAGCAGAACCGATCAGATAAATTGCCTCGTTAGTCAGATCCAGCCAGTTAGGTGGTGTTAGCCACCTAGACTAGGCTTACACTCGCCGCAAGTGTAACAACGCCTGGCTAACTGGAGCTGTTTAACGATGCATTTTATCTGATCGATTCTTCTGTGATCCAGTGAATGGTGTATCAATAACACACAAAAGTAAGAAAGGAGACTTTTCACTTTTCAAATAATTACCCGGACAAGCACTGCTAACACGTTACATTCAAAGACACTTGATAAAATGCATCAGAGAAGGTTTCCAGCTGAGCTGTTAAGACTCAGTTCACTTTGCTCTTAAGTACTGAAACGATGGTGCCAGTTCTCATCATGCAAAGGCATTATCGGCTGTCCGATATCGATTAAACTTCTGACGTTCTACTTTTTTTTGTCCTCCACAAGCTCCGTTTCCATAAAATTTCATTCTGTCTGTCTTGCAGAAAAGAATTCAAGCTGGATCAGACTCATTCAGCCATCGTGGATACACCCTTCTACCCGCCAACCACCCACAAGCCGCGGGTACAGCTCAAATGTCATACTACCCCGACGACTAATAAAAGAGTTTTACAGAAATGCATATAGAAAGACGAGCCCACAAAGTAGAACAAGAACGTAACAAATCAACATCTGATAAAGACTTCTCGGTTATTCACTTTTGCTTTCTTCGAAATTGACAAGTTACACTTTCCTTCACGTATCATGTAACTTCTTTCAGCCTGTGAGCATTTTAAAAGCACAGGGGTAGCCAGAAACAGTGTCTGAGTCATGCAAATGACGACTTTCATGACGAAAGATCAGAAGAATTTAAAGTGCTTTTTAATAAGGGGCAGTACATCGAGTGGAAAGGGGGGGGGCAGCTGTTCAGGGCGCACAGAGCGAACTCACAGGAAATACGCTTAAATTAAAAATATAAAATCATGTCTATAATTTTACACCGGGGCGGATATTAGGGGTTCAGCCAACAGATTAATACTGGCTCTAGTAGTAAGGTCAGAGCCCTTCGAAAGGCCCTAACATGATCAGGGGTGCCCAATGGAGAAAAGAGTGGCCCAAATGCCTGAGGTGACTGTCCCCCTAGTTCAATATCAACACAGTGGGACGGAATACAGGCTGTGTAGTATTTCTTTCTGAATAATGGCTGAACTCCCTGTAGGTAATATATCTATTAATTTATCTTAATATAAGAGCCAATGTCCGTCACGGTTGACTGGATGACTGCGTCGTTTGTTTGATGTTCAAAAAAAATTAAATTAAATTCTGAAACTGGCGACTCATAACACATAACCCTTTCCGTCGATAAAGCGCTAAATGTTAAAACCTGCTTGAGATACAAACCCGGGCGTTCTTATAGGCAAAGACGATTTTATGAAGGATGCTGCCTTCCATTTTTCCAGCCCTATTTTCCTCTATGTTTAACTCAATTTCTCCCATCTGACGGCGCTCCGCGCTGTATTTGGGTCACAGTCGTCATGACAACGCATTGAAACTTTGATGACCAGCAGCAGTCCGGCTGGTGGCCTCGTAGCTGCAACGGGAACAGGTAGCCTGCCCACATTCAACTTCTCTTACGCGACGAGGATTCTCATTTGCGTCCCTGAGCCCCTGCGGGTCTCTACATACACTTATATTAGCATTCGTCGCATATTCTCACACGTGAGAACATTTCTTGACACTGAGAGAAATTATACTCTCTTAATTAGAAAATTGTTCGTCCTTCGTAAAAATTAAAAGAATTTATCTCTTTGTAGAAATGTCGTTGCTATACTTCGGCCTGTCATTCTTCACCCCATTTTCCTTTACGAAACCACATTTCTGAGTCGAAAAAGCTTTACGTTGACTGTAGGCTGCACAATAAAACTTATAAGGTATGTATAATCGGTCCAACACAACCCAAAATTTTCCATTAAATTTAAATCTAACGTCTACAGTATTCTAAACAAATTTACTTACATGCAATTGGCACTTAACACAAACTTTAACTCTAAGCTAAAAATACTTTTATTTGAAACGTGTTTAAGAATATTTATCAAACTCAAAGACGACTTATTCGTTAATTCATATAATATAAATCAAAAACCACAATCTTTTAAATTATATTATATGAATTAACTTATTTTTTGTCACTGATGATGACCTCTTCAGGTCGAAACGGGTTTGGCATTAGTGTCTTTCATAGTGATTCAGTTTTGTTTGTATGCGAATTTTATATGCTGAAACTAATTGTCAAACTACAGCACTGAAAGTCATCGCAGAGGAATTTCTAAATAAAGAGAAAATACGTTTTACATTCAGAGAACTAAATTATTATTTGTGATTCATATTAACTTAGTCTGCGGAGATAGTGGAATTTTCGCTTTCAACTATTACTTGGATTCACATAATAGCAGTGGTATTGTAATGGTATTTAAAATAGTGTATGTGAAATCTATACCATCTGTCTGCAAATCCGAATTTGCATTCTAATTACATCGCTATTTCAAAATTACGATCCATACAAACAGGGTATTCGTTCAACATTTAACAAATTACACAATTTATATTTAAATTGGAGCTGGAATACTGAATTATTACATTACTAGTATTTTTTTCGATTGTCGATTAGGTTATTCTATACTAGAATCGAGATAACTCGCTCAGAAACGCCAGCTTATTCTTCTGCTAACTTCTTCAGTGTCTCATAACGGTGACGAACTGTCTTGCTACGTATTGACATTCAAATTAATTGTCTGTTTCTTTTAAACAATGAGCATTTGAAATTATCACAGAACCATTTGGAATCAACACAGCAAATAAAAGATTAAATAATCACGACTTTTAATTTCTACGAAATAGTACATTAGTTTAAAAAGATATCTCCACATTATAGGTCCTGACGTTCACGTATCTGTCAAATAAATCAGCAAACTGGATAAATGTCTCTCTGTCTGTACTTGACTTTCGCGTGTCTGCCAAACGTACCACTGACTTGGACAAAAGTCCGTCGTACTTACCGGCTCTGACCCTGACGTCTCTGCTGAGTATGGAGCCGCCAAGATTCGATGCTTTGCAGCGATACACCGTGGAGTGGACATCGGCGCGATAGTCCTCGGCTCGAAATGGAGGGAAGTACAGGGTTCCGTTACCCAGGGTCTGCCTGCAAACCAAGATTTCAAAAATATACATTTTAACCCAAACTGAAACATTAAAACAGATGAACTGCATGGATGAGAATACATGGGGTGGTATTCGGTCAACTAGACAAGATTTTTCCAGTATAACACGGCACACATGACTTCATCATCGTGTTTACAAGAACCAGCTACCAGCCGCTATCTAGAGCCAGATGAATTCAGTGAAAACGTATTTTAATATTATCCTCTGATATAAGTCTATGTATTTTTTGTGCTCTCTTCCATTCTGGCTCTCCAACCAAACGTTTGGACGTATTTCTCATCTCCCCCATGCGTGCTACGTCCTCCGTTCACCTCATATTCCTGCATTTGATAATCTTAATAATAATATACGTATGAAGAGTATTGCGTGGTGGTGATTACAATTGACGCAAACTCATCTATCTGTTTAATACTGTGATTCTGATTGCGTTTCAAAGACCATTACTGCGTAGATCAAATAGTTTATTCCTGGAATAGTCAGAATGTATTTACAGAAAATTAAAGGACAAGGACTCATAATACAGGCTCGGCTTCGCAAAAATAATGTGCAAATATAATATCATTATTATATAGGATAAATATGAGGTAAAAGTGGGTTCGTATTGTTTGGTATGAATTTATATTCATATACAACAAAAATTACATTCAATATAAACAAATATAATTAATATTAGTTGCATTAATTTGCTTTTCAGCCAGATCCAATTAAGCTTTGTGTTTTTACGACAAACCACAGGCGTGCGACGGACACACAATTTCTGTTGTCTGTTATCAGTGACTGTAATTATTAAAATATAGATGAATGAGTCAGCCTCGCTGTTTGACGCGAGGTTACACATATGTATAATTTACTATTAGAGTGCCCTCAGTATTACTGAGAAAAAATTCGATACGTACTTACACTTCTTATCTATTTTTATTGCCCAATAGCTTTTATAATGCCTTGTTTCCAAGATACAGAAACCACCTTAATCGGATTTCGAACCCAAGATATTTTATCAAAGTTTTTAACTTTCCAAGATCTCTTCCTAGTTTCAAGGTGTAAACAAGACCAATTCGGTGCAACCTTTCTAGAGCTATAAGCGAGTACACACACACACACACACACACACACACACACACACACACACACACAATTACAGTTTTATTCGGTTGAATTGTAGGATTTGAGGTTTTCACGGCGGTAAGTCAGAAGACAGCCATCTTCATTCAGTTGAATTATCTCCATAAACGACTGTGTCCACCTAGCTTCGAATTTCTGCTTTTCAAACCCTGATATAACTACTTGGAGTGGTTCTGTTTCCTTCATACATAATATTTATTCTTATAACTACACAGTCTCCAGTATTTATTGAGTCAGCACGTTAAAATAAAGAAGCGAAATGAATAATTCTAAGTCCCTTTCCACATTTGTGACCCGACCCAGATAGTCTGATCCAGAACCGTAGGTACAAAGTAGACAGACAGAGAGGGAGAGGGAGAGAGAGGGAGAGGGAGAGAGAGGGAGAGGGGGGACTGTATGTCCCTTTATTAACCGTGTCTTAAAATAATTTGTCTCTGTCCCATATCTCTGATAAATCTGAAGCAACGTGCAGAGCTCAGAATTACTCCCGAATTTCCGAAGCTCTGGAACACACCCCCAGCTGCGTACGTAGCGAAAAATCATAGCAGGGGGTAACACAATTTCTGAAGAACGAGAAGGAAAAAAAACTATTTCCAGCACTCTGATAGATTTCGGCAACTAACACGTATAAATTCGAAATGTAATTTATTTATACATCTGTATTTTCTGTTACATCTTTCGGTCATTATACAAACACATTTTTACTCACACTATAATCCAGCAGAAAACATCTTTCTTGATACACTAATATTTACTCGACTAATCAAAATACTTCCTGCTTTGTGGAACTAGCCGAACGTGAAGGCCGAGTAATTAGCACACCTGAGTCCCGGGTTCAAATCCCGACCCGGGAACCGGCTATGCCGACTGAGGTTTTCTTCGTGCGTTACCGCAGTGAAGTCAAACTCAGTCGCAGAAAGTCTCAGTTCCTTCAAGCAAATGCCTGACTATTGCCCTAAATAGGCCACGACTGCTTCATTCGACATCATTTCCTATTCATTCAAATATTTGGTGATATGCTGTGTAATCTGAGCTGACACCGTCGTTAAGTAAGCTATATCTTCCGTGGAACCTAAAATTTATTAGCCTACACGCAAGGAACCGCCACTGGTCCGCATCTTGAGCCACGTGACTCCACACTTTTACGTCAGATTTAATTTTCACGCATTCCCGTAATCTACGCTTATGTCTTCCAAGTTGTTTCTTCCGTTCAACTTATTATTGCCGATCGACTTGTGTCAGACAAATCTGCCCGCACTTGAATTGTATGGCATGTAAGAGATTGCTCACAACTTGTATGTGTCTTACCGAATCAGTGACTTAGTGAATGCTAGTATCAATAAAATCTTCTCGGGCAATCAGCCGAGTCAATTGGTTACCGTAGTAAACCGACGTTTCAAATCCTGTTTACGTGCGAATGAATTGTGTGTCAGTAAATTTGTGCGTGCGTGTGTATGATGGCGGGAATGTCTGTGAAGGGGGGAAATTGGTAAAAGTGGGTGTCAGGTCTAGATCAGGTGGATAGGGTCGGCTTGTGGCGAGCCGGAGAGCAAACCAAAACAGTCACAATCCCCCCCCCCCCCCCCCCCCCCTCCCTCCGGGCTGGTGAGAACTGAACCAACCGAATGCGACGCAAGGTGTAAAGGGCAGCTTCTGTTCAGTTCGGCCAAGCAAACTGAGCTCATTTGTAATGTATAGCTTTGCGGGTAGCATAACTCAGTGGCCACTAGAGTCGCAAATCGTGGTCCCTCCGGCTTTTCAGAGTATTGTACTAGAAATCAATTGAGTACCAAAATAAGGACTACGTGATAATATGAGATTTGTGGGAGGGGAAAATAACTTTTCACAAGCGATAGGTTGTAATTTAAATATATTATAAGAAAATGGCATTCAAACAAAGATATGGATAATCATGTACTTAGGGGCTGTTAACACTCAAAAATCTTTTGTGTATTTGTATCTTTACCTAGAAGAACTTAGTGACAATAGAATTATATGGAGAAAATATAATTACTTCACTCTTTCTGCGCTTGGTAACCGAACGAGATGCCAGAAAATCTGATAATGTTTTTGACTTCCTTAGCATGGTCCATTAATTTCAGATAACTTCTGACAATTCATAAACACCCGTCGGAAGATGAAGGTTCTCCAGCGTATGGATTTTAAAATTAAACTGCAGTAACGCGTTTGGTAAACTAGGGCATTTATACAGCGTGAAATTATTCTGGTTTGGTCAGGAATTAAACTGTAAAAGGCACGAGGTGGACTTCCAGAAGGGTTTGCAGCAAAGAGGAAAATAAAATTCAGTCTGCTTCCCATTCCTGATTCCGAAGTTCAGGACCCGGCTCATAAATACTCCCCAGTTATAGATACTCGGAGAAGTCAAAGGGTTTAGTTTGGTGGCTACTGGAGGAAGGGCTATGGAGATGGAGCAAGACAGACAGAGAGACAGACTAGAATTGATCGGGCCGAATAGGTTTATATAGTAGAAAGGGGTACAGTATGACCAAAAATAAACCCGTTTCACAATTTCAACGGAATGTACGCAAATACCTTCTGGACACAATTTTTTTTATTTGGCGTATTTCACGGGGAAGTATTAAACATCTACGTCATACAACTTCAAGATTTTATGATATTTCCGTTATATTGCAACGTTTAGATTATTAATTAATTAATATTAACCGTTTTATTAAGACCGAACAATTTTTCAAACATTTCCAACGTCAAAATATAACCACATCTCTTGATTATAGGGGTGAACAAAACCACAGAAGATTTTAATCATAATAGCCGACCACCGAACGTGCATTCGCCAGCTCAGATTGTCTCGTCTAGTTCATCACCTTACGTGACTGAGTGCATATTCACGTAGCTTGAGGGATATACCTACAGCATTTGATCGTCACCAGTGTGTAAACAGAAACTGTGCTGTTCAATGTATGGGGACTCCGATCGTATCGCCTTCATTTTGAGTTCAGGGATTCAGGAGCAATTATCAATGTATTTTTCCGTCAATTAATCTGAATGAACATTCAGAATTTTGAAAACACACAAGGGGTTAGTGAATTTATACTAACTCACAGTCTCTATAGTAAAGTGTTTGCAGTGCTATCACTGGATGCTGTGATTTGTTTGTAATAAATTAATTTTGTACTATGGCCTAACTGTTGTCTCCGTTTGCCAGTGTTTAGCAGCATGAATGTTGTCGGAAACACATACAATTGTTTACACAGGCTAAAAGCAGTCATCCCTCCACGATATTAAACCAACAGAAGAATCTGGCATATGATTTACTGAACTAACTGACAAAGTTTGTGTAATTACATTTATAATCACGTAATGGGTAGGCCTAACAACAACTGGATGCTCGCTACTGCAGCCAAAGACTATTCAAGGACCTGAAATAATTGGAGAATAAAGTTGTGTACTAAATCCTAAATGTAAGAACAACACGTTTAGTGTCTTTATAACAACGTTGAACGGCCTTTCTCGCTAGATACGTGCAGACAGTATTCTCCAACACTAACATCTGTTATTCAAAATTCGTAAAACATCAGTTGCAAAACAGCATCCAGTCTTGGTAAATACTACATAGCTCAAGACAATAAAAATTACATAAATAATTCAAATATTTTAAATAATGAAAGTGTTAGAGTTAAATAATAACTCACGAGACATACATGACCACAAAATATATTTCTTATATTCTCCCAGTCTACCAATATTTTTCTCAAAAAAGCACACTTATATATGGTAAGTTCAGTAAGGATTCTCAATAATTCTCCGTAACGGTGTTCACAGCTGTCAGCAGACTCGGGAAACGATATGAAAACTTTAGTGTGAGTTAAGTAATTA